CTAACTGGATTTAAAAACACTCACCGCAACTACCTCAGACGAAGACAGTCCCGAATGTGCCCTCGGGAATACGGAGCTTTGTTGGTCGGAGTCTTAAGACTTGGGGTCTTGAGACTATTGTTCGCATTTCAGGTCTATCCATAAGTAAAGAAGAAGGCTGTTTGCAACCAAGAAGATAATCACTCACGCCAGAAGCAAGGCAAGCCGCTAATTGTTTGCAGTCTGGCCCAACGATGAGAATTCAGTCAATGGATAAATCAATCTGACGCCGGCATAAAGAGTCCTGGGCATTCAACCCCCCGAGTTGAAATTGGAGATGTTCGATTGTCCCCTCCCCTAAGACCCGTTAATTGTTGCGCATGTGTTGCTGCTATTATCTCTGACGATGAACTGCTATAAGAGTTCGAAAGCTCTGATGAATAAAGACATGATCCCGGGGAACAAACAACCTTTTTCCTTACTCATAAAGGTGTATTCCTCCAAACAGTCGCAACCAAGCATGTCTTTGGATGCAGAGCTACCTGGTCCTCAGCGCAAACCCTTCGAAACATCTAAATTTCGTCATGATTGATCAGCGTTCATATCGACGAAGCTCTTTTTCCGCCGTTCATCTGCTGCTTGGGGGAGGGCATGTAGAATACGAGATATTTATTTAAGTCTTTGAAAACTCTCTCAAGCAGAGTGAGGGCCATTAAATCCACTAAGACTGCCCATTTTTAAAACTACAGACGATCCCATGGTTCTACCATTTAGAGGATCCTGGCGGTAACTTTAACAGTTTGTTCGTGAATGTACTTTTACGTGTTCGTCTTATTTACTATGATCCGTAACAACGACCTGAAATGTTTCTTGTTTCAGAGGAACGCGCATCACTATCCATCGAAGAGTAAGGTAAGCAATTGACGTCTTTCTTCTAATTTTTTAAAGTACCACTAGTGATTTTCATTTCCAGATGCGTATGTTTTCTCTATATATCGATACCGCGAATTAAGTCGTCATTATACCAATAGTGCTGAGCTTAATCTGTTAGTATATGACTAATAACATTTCATTCAAGGTCAAATAA